TACACAAGCCTTGTCTCTTCACAAAAGCATCATTAATATAGCTTTGGTTAATTGTAGGTGTGTTCCTCTTCCCCTCTGGGGAGAAAAACTCTGAATGATTACCTTTATACTAAGTGTTTTACAGCTAAGGTGGCTCTTGCTATAATCCCATAGGATAAAGTAATCCTAAGGTGAAAGCGGAGGAAACTGAGGTTCAGAAAGGTTAGGCAACTGGGCAGAGGTCACACAGCCAACTGAGAGTGGCAGAGGTAGAGTTTGTCTTCGGTGTGTCTGGTCTCAATCTGGGAATATGCCATGTCCTGGTAAGTGCAGTGTTAAGGAGGCTGGTGAGAGTGGCGACATGGAGGGAGCTCCCTCTGAGCAAGGAAGAGCTGAGTTCAAGTGCAACCTCACCTCCTCTGGCGTGTGCACAAAGGCAAGGAAGTACAGATGTTCTTGCAAAAGCCAGGCAGATTGTAGATGCTTAAATAAGCCCACAGTTCTGCCAGAGACAGAGAGAGACTGTGGTGCTGATTTCCCATTCCATGCCCCCCTCTGCAAAAGATGAATATCTTGTGAAGGTAAGCTCCTCTGAAGGATTAAAAAGGCAAGGATAGCAAATGATCTTAGCACAACACTGTCAGGGTATCAAGGAGAGAACTCTGATTTTGGCGAACAGGATATAAAATAGGACTACTGTTGGTTTGGAATTTGGGCAGAAACCTTAACAATAACCTCCCTTTGCAATGGGGTGGCCAGGGAACGCTTGGCCAAGTTCAGGTCCATGGAATGACACAAGGCAAGTCTGCCCTTGGAAACCCATGTGATCCTGCACACACATTCTCCCCCGCATGGAGGGTTTTGAATCCTGTGGAGGATTCACAGGATAACTGCGGTTTTGGAAGAAGGTGGAATCTAACCTTGAAGACTTACTGGAGCAGAGATTCTTCTCTAACACACACCAGCCTTTACCGGAGTGAGCTATGAAACAGAAAAAGGCCCTGAGGATTTTGGGTTGCTCATTAGCAGCTCAACATTCTAAGCTCAACTAAGCAAGAAACCCCAGGTTAACGGATTGTCAACACTGTATGGTCCTTCTAAACCTCTAACTCCTGATGCTAGCAATGTTGCCTGTAACACAGGGCCTTCTGATTTGGAAGCAGAGCCAGTTCTGTGACCTCCTAAGTAAGTCTTGCTGGAGTTACCAGTAGATCTCTTCCACATAGAGCTGTGTGAATTACTGGTACCGCGTAATATGACAGCCTCAAATTCAGTATCTTGGTACATATCCTTGAATGCACACTTGATGTCAGCTAGGCAAATTCAGCTGTGTTGCTCATACTTCTGTGGTCAGCTCATGGGTGGGCTGGGGGTTATCTGAATGCTGAACTAGGATGGCCCCATTCCTATATCTGGTGTTGGCTGGAAAGACTGAACCTCGTGTCTCTCATCATTAGGCAGGCTGAGGCTTGTTGTCTTTAGTGGCTGAGCAAGACTCTAAGAGAGTGACAGAAGCTGCAAAGTGTCTAGAGCCTATACTCTACCATAGTAAACCCCCTCCCATCTGTAATTATGTTTATTGAAGCATAATAGGTTTACATCTTTGTATCTGCTCTGGGGGCAATAGGTTTAAATCTCTACAAATGTGTACTTTCACCTCCTGCCTACAACTAGTGTCCCAACTATCCTCTACCATGTTCCATTCCCTCCTCTCCTACCCGATGACCCATCCCCTCTGGTTGCCTCAGTTTGCAGTCAGATGTAAAGAATTTATTATCGGTTTGGTTTTGACTGACCCTTTGTTTTGTTTCTGCATACTCCACATTTAAGTAAGAGCATCTGGTATTTGTCTTTTTCCATCTGACTTATTTAGCTTAATATCATCCCTTCCAGTTCTATCCATGTTGTTGCAAATGGCAGAAGCTCATCCTTTTTCATAGCTGAGTAGTATTCCATATATATGTATGTGTATATTACATTTTTCTGTTCTACTTTTTTTTTGGGCACTTAGGCTGCTCTATAACTTAGTTAATGTAAATAGTTCTGCAATGAACCTAGGCGTACATATATCCCTTCAAATCAGTGTTTTTGTATCCTTCGGGTAGATACCTATTAGTAGAATACTGGGCCATAGGGTAGATCCCTTTTTAATATTTTGATAAGCCTCTTCTGTTTTCCATAAGGGCTGAACCAATTTACTGCAGCACACTCTTACCAATTTGCACCGTACTTGTCAAAAGAAGTCACAGCTTAACTCTGATTCAGAAGGTAGAGAAATAGACTTTGTCTCTTTAGTAGGACAAAATGCAAGGCCAAATTTCAAAAAGCCTCATCCAGGGAGCAGTGAAAACTCCTGGCTACTTTTGTTTTGTAGCCATAGGACCACAAATTGCCCCAGTCAAGTAAAAGGAATTCCTGCCACCTCCGCTCCATACTTCCTCCCAGCCCCCAACATGTTGGAGGTGGAGGAGATGAGGACAGAGGGAGATCCAGGAGTGAAGAAGCAGGCCACAGCCCCATTCTCTACTGAGTAACCTGGAGCTGCTTTCAAGAAAAGCCTTGCCAGAGGGAAGGTATGAAAAATGGAGGACTAAATTCAATGTGGGATGGACAGGCTAAATTGTATAGACTGAACCAGACTTTGCAAAACTCGAGTGGATATACACTGAGATTTGCCCAAGATATGGTCAAGGGGTGGGAATAGGAACTTTGCAGGGTAGTAAGTGGGAAAGACTATTGCATTTTGCTTAGTAAGTCAGACAGCTCAGTATAGGAGTTGTAGACATGCACACACACGCACATGCACACACACCCCCTCTGCGAGGCTGGAGAAAGAATTTTCTAAGGTTTGCAGCGCTGTTGACGGGCATTCTGTTTTCCTACTTTTTGGTTTTTCCTATATCAGACAACACACTCCCCGCCCCCCTTTTTTTTTTGGTAGTTTCAGCTTTCTCATTTACAAAACAGAGCCATGAGCCATGGGGCAAATGGGAAGATTCAATGAGATGTGAAATTGCTTTTTATTTTGTGAAGTGTTTTATCCTGGTAAAGTGTTTCAGGCATGTCTCCTACTGTCTATGTTTTAATAATACCAAAAAGATGTAACATATTGAATTAAGTGTAAGAATTGACATTATTTGAACTGCTATTAGTATCAATACCAACAGTCATTTGTGGTTGGCAACCTGCCAGTACAAGAGACTCCCCCGGGGAAAACTCTAACAATACTGATGTCTAGGTCCCACCCCGAATTCAGGGGGTCCTGATTTAGTTAATCTAGGTACAGCCTGGGCTTTGGGGTTTGCAAAGCTCAAGGTCAGGGGAGTGCACAGTAGACTGTAGGGGACTGTAGGGTGAGGTAAAAGTATCAGGTTTTTCTGCCCTCCCGCCATTAGGATGGATAACAGAATCCTGTGTCCTGAATGCATGCCTGATGGCGGGCACCTGGAGTAGGGCGTGGGCATAGGTAGATGGGATTCACCTGGGCTAAGACCGGGCTTTTAAGACCGGGCGGCGTCACGGGGATGCCAGCAGGAGCAGAGAAGCTGAGAGAGAAGCAGAGCCATGAGGAGAGCAGAGAGAACGTGAGAGAAGGCCGGAGAGCCCAGAGTGAAGACTTGCTGGGGGCTGGGAGGCCTGCCAGCCTCCCGGCCCCCCAGCACCCCTGCCTGCCATGTACCTGGTAAATCCCAATAAAAGCCTGAAAAGCCACTGAGGGCTCCAGGACTCTGACTCCTCCTTTACCCGGTCTGCTGGAGTCATAGAAAACCTGCTCAGTGGACTGTCCTGCCCTTACAGGGATCTTACAGGCGGTAAGGGAACAACGGTGACCACACCTAAAGAGAGAAATCCTATGCTGTCAAACTATTTCCAAGGGTGTAAAAACAATTTATTTCATTCAATTAAAAATAAATATTTTTAAAAAAGCTCGAAGGGGATTCCACTGTGCAGTGGGTGTTGGGTTAAATGCCTTAGAATAGAAAGTTCTGCTGCTGAGGCTGAGCAATGGCTGCTCTTATTACCTCTTTGTTTTGTCCTTACCTCTCATGGTTGTCACCTGCAATGCAATTTGCATTTCTGGGCTAAGCATATGTTGACTTGGGTCTGATATTCTAGCTCAGTCAGTGACTTTTTTCCAGCTTTGCTTGTTCGCCAGCTCTGATCAGCGAATTGATCGTTTGCAGCTTGCAACCTGAAATTGCACCTGTCATCTTAAAAATGAAACTTGGTTGATGAAATTTCGAATCCCGATGGGAAAAATTAACATTATTGTGAATCTGAAGGAGGATTTTCTCTCCACTGCTGAAACAATTGCTTTTATTATTTTTTTTTTTTTAATAATCTGAGGCATCTCAGTAGGACCCCGGTGCACCGTAGGATAACATGTGATATTAATAAATCAGAACAAATGAAGCCTTGCAAAGCACATTCGCAAGTGCCAAGCAGTGAAAGACCAAGAATATCAATAATTGGGGGAAAGCGGTCTCTGTAATGAAGGAAGGTTTCTGGGACACATGGCTAGGAGGATGTGAGCCCACTCAGCACTAAAACTGTTCTGCAGGAGGAAAACAAGGCTGTGGAAAGGAGTGACCACAAGCTTGAGGTCAAAATTGATGGTGCAAAGGCAGCCGGACTCTTGACCGAAAACCTTGTCAGCTGTGTCTTCTCTCCCATTCAGATGTGTAGGGCAGGGCAGCAGGGTCCATCCCTTCATCCAAATCAGGGGAAGGGTTCATTGAGTGGGTTGTAGGCTGTCCAAAGAGTACAGACGAAATGGCTTTCTTCTCCTCCTTCTCCTCCCCAAGAAGGAGCAAGGACGAAATGCCCAATTTAAAAAGCAACTCAGTTACTGACAGCTCCTGTAATACTCCCAGCCTCAGCCCTCTCCTAACTCCAGGGTCTAATTATCCTTCTACTTAATTGGAGGTTCAGGAGAGCTTATTAGCTTGCGCCATTGTTGCATAATTCAGGAGTTCAGTTCAAGCTTCCTAAAGAGCTGTTTCTTTGTTTTTGTTCCCCAGGGGCCATTTTCCCATCCATCCATTTCGGCAGAAACCTCAGGGATGAAGAGCAGGGCTGTCAAGAGAGGTGTAAGCAGCAAGGCTAGAGGACCAGGAATGGTGAGACCTGGCCCCCTCCCTGCTCCGTTGCTAATTCATTGGGGGTATCAGCCATGCAGCCAACCTCGCTGGGCATCATCAATGAGAAGCAGAACTGAATCAGCATTTCTAAAAGCATGTTTCCTGGAATGCTCCCTCTCAAGGTATTTCTTCAGAAAGTGATTCTGTGGTCTCGGATGACGCCAGGAAATGCTGTGTACTGGGTCTGCCTGTGAGGTAGGTTACCTCATCAACATCTGTTCGGACCACCTTCTAGTGTAATCCCTAAACACTGCATTTCCAAACTCCTTTGCAGTAGAGTAGCACATGGGACTTAGACTCCAAGACACATTGCCTACGACATGAGTCAGGATGTGAGCTCTGTGACAGGGAGACATTCCTTTAACTTGCTTGGTCTGGTCCTACTCGCCCTGCTTCCAGATCAGGCTGATTTCCCTTCGCAAGCCAGCTCTCTGCTGTGACTTTGCTAGTTATTCCTGCGGTCTCAGCATGGAGCTTGCTTTGCAAACATTCCCATAATTTTGTCAGCTCCCAACTCCCTGTATCAAATCCCTTGCTAATTAAAATGACAAGAACGATTTTCTTGTCTCCACTGAATTTGACTGATACACAGCCTCTTGGGTTTTCAGAATACACAGAAACCGATTAAATGTCCTAAGATATCTGGCAGTACCTACATGTTTCAAATTTAATGACTTTAGCTGTATATAGAGGTCTCTATCTTATGTTGATTACTTCCACACACTTCATATTTCAAACATTCATGCGATTAAAATTCATAATGGAAAATTCTTTTGCTTTTGAGAGGGTAAAGAGGAGAGAAATCTTTATTTGTTAAAAACTACAAACTCTGGCCCCCTCTTTGCATCTAGCCTTCAGTTGAGAGGTTGATGGAGATAAGTGTTCCTGATGCCTCTGCACACCCCCCTCTGCCTCTCACTCCTTTGTAAGGACATGTTCTTCTAGTCATTTTGAATCCTTGGATTGTGGGGCCCCAGGTGATTCTGGTGTAGCAGGTGATTGGTCTGCTCTGAGGATACCCACACCTGTAGGGGCCTTTTTCCTAGAAAAACCTGGAGTTGTTTTTTTTTTTTTTTTCCCTTGAAAAACCAGCTCTCCCTGCAGTTCCCTCTCCCCCATCCAGTAGCCAACAGTGTGAGCTCAGTGACAAAAGGAATCAGACATTTTGCCATCCTATCAGCAATACCCAGTGAGATTGGGGTGCCCTCCCCTTCTCTGCTTGTATTGCACACTGCAATAGTCCTGTCATTAGGCTAGTGAAGTTAGGCCTTTAAATTCTCCTCAGATGTGGACATGAGATCCTTGAGGGCAAGGACTGTGTCTCAATCCTCTGTAATTCCCAAAATTTAGGACACTGCCTGGCACAGAGCACACTGTCATTATTCATCTATATATTTTTTAAAGATTTATTTTTCTTTATACATACAAGAACTGGGGTATAGGCCAGAGGTGTGGGGGTGAGAGGATTCACTAGAGACAGAGTGGGGAGCAGAACAGGCAGATCTACTGAAATACTGTAGTGGCAGGAATGGACACAGTGCAGGTTTTCTGATCCCATGCAGACCGGGTAAAGGAGGAGTCAGAGTCCTCAGTGGCTTTTGCAGGTCTTTTATTGGGGTTGACCAGGCATATGGCAGGCTGGGGGGCCGGGAGGCTGGCAGGCCTCCCAGCCCCCAGCAGGTCTTCACTCTGAGGGCTCTCCAGCTTTCTCTCGGCTTCTGCTTGGCTTCTTGGCTTCTGCTGGTATCCCCGTGACGCTGCCCTTAAAAAAGCACAGTCTCAACCCAGGTGAATCCCATCTACCTATGCCCACACCCTATTCCAGGTGCCCGCCATCAGGCATGCATTCAGGACCATGAGGATCCATCATCTATCCTGATGGCGGGAGGGCAGAAAAGCCTGACATTTTCTTTACCCTACAAATACACTGCCGAGGGAGCGGTTGGAAAGACAGGAGAAGTCTGCTGCGTGGGTTAGCTCCCTGACTGGGGATTGAGCTCACAACGCAGTGGCTAGCAATAGCTTGATAGTGCTGAGACTTAACCCCTTGTGCCACCAAGGAGGCCTAGACACGGTTTTTAGATGTGTTCTTTTAGGAAAAGGCACTCAGGAGTTTGGGGAGAAAAGGCTGAGCAAAATCATGGGTCTGAGGATGTTAGAACCACAAGGGACTGAAGAAAGAAAATAATTCAGTGCTTTTGCTGCACAAATAAACCTGAGACGCAAAGGCTTATACATAACAGCTTGGTAGACAGTGCTCTCTCCTGAGTACACAGGAGCCTCCAGGATTTTAATATCTGTAGGGACAATCAGAGAAGGAATTTGAGCCGTCTTCCATGTACCAACTCCACGTTTCTCCAAATGCATTTAAAGAGATTGTCCACTTAGGAAAAGTGCCCTAGCATGCTGAGAAAGAAACTTTGGGTTGTCTGAGGACCCCCTACTCAGAAAGGCCACTGCATATTGTTTCCTTAAGAAATGCCAGACTTCAAAATTAATAGTTCTCAAAGTGTGGTCCCCTGACCAGCAGCAGCAACATCATCTGAGACACTGTTGGAAAAGCAAACTCTCGCACCTCATCCAGCCCTCCCAAATCATAAACTTAGAGGTGGCCCCAGCTCTCTGTACTTTGACAAGCCTTCCAGGTGACCCTAATGTACGCTCACATTTGAGAACCACTGGGAAATGTTGGACTGTCCTTATACAATGTGATTTTAGAAGCTTTTAGAATATTCCCAGTCCTCCAAAAGACCCAGCCTCCTGCCTACAATTGCCTGTGACTTTCACTTTTTAGATTTATATCTTTGGGCAAAGACTTTTAGCTCTAGGTTGTCCTGGAATACAAAACCTTTTGAATCTTCAAGTCCTTCACATCTCAGTATATACAACCTTATCAGAAACTTCCTGAAGATTGGATTTTAATAGGGCTTATTAGTATTTATAATACAGTTATAGATTATTTACAGCTGAAATGTACTGGCTAAGAAAAGTAGGAGATTTAGGAAAGTGGAGGAGGGGTGTGTCAAGGAACACAGAAACGGGGAGGCAGCAGGTGTCAGGAGCTGTCTTGAGTCGGCAACTGGAATTGCCTTTTGTCTGCTCTGCTCCCAAGGCTGTTCTGTTCTCTCCTCTTGCTGAACACTGGCTTTCTTTGCTTCTCAGTCCATATGGGAAAACATGGCTACAGCCTATGAATACCAAATGGAACAGCTTCAGCCACTAGGAAAGAACTTGCACATCGCTCCCTCTCTAAGTACCAAGTTTCCAAAAGGGATTTCAGTCCAGGTAGGATAGGCACTTCATAGAAGTCCATCACCTGTCTACTATTGGAACATGGACTCTGGGGGCCAGCAGTTGGGTGGTGGACATAGTGGATAGATAGTTTTTGGGAGAGAGGAAAGAGCTGGGAAGTTAGTTAGGTAGACAGAGGACCTGAATTTGAGGACCCTGAATTGGCAGGAAATCAGAGGGAGTTCTGTTGAAGGGCAGAGGGCATGAGGGTAAGGGGAGAGGAGAGTGGGTGCACAGATATCCAGATGACAGTTTTAAGGGTTCATATTTCTTGGGGTTAAAGTGTTCCCCCACCAGTCCCTGGCACCACAGGATGTGTCCTTGCTTGGGAATGGGATCAACTCTTTGTTTAAGATCCAGACAGAATTTGCTAACATGCCTCCAAGCCCTTCAGTGTCTGTTCTTTAACCATCCCAGAACCTCATCTCTCTGCTCCCGTCACTGTGAATTCTCTGGTTCACTGACTGCATAGTACAGCCTCCTGCCACAGGGCTCCAACCTCTCTGCTCAAAACACTCAGCCTGTCCTTTTTACTCAGTCAGCTTATCTTCCTATTTCCTCTCTCTGCTGAGGACTCGCTTCTTCAGGACGCCTGTTCGGACTTCCCTGACCAGGTCAAGTCCTCTCACTACAATTTCAATTGCTCTATGTCAATGTTTGCCACAGTTGTAATTCTGCATATGTCTCTGTTAATTTGGAGTTCTGCACCCCCAGCATCCCTACCTCACAGTAGACTGTAAGCTCAGTGAGGGAAGGCTTGGCACTTTACTCGCCATTGGAGACCAAAGCCTCACAGACTCTCAGTGCTATTTGCTGCATGAAAGGTACCTAAATGAAAACATACTAAGTGGTGCTTATTGTTGAGTATCTCATGTGAACCAAGCACTTTACACATATAACCCAGAGCTAGCGCGACTGGAAAACATCTAACAATGTTTTAAAAAATGTTTATTTTAAAGATTAGGAAAACCTCAGCTCAGAGAGGTGAACTTGCTAGAAACCACAGAACTTATAATAGGAATCTATCCAGGATTGAGCTGGCTGTGCTGTTTCAACCTTCAGATACAGAGTGTTAGGCTGGAGGGAATGTGGAAAACATTTGATCTCACACTGTCATCCTGCTGAGAAGGGAGCAGAAGCCTGTGGGTTAGAAAAGGCAAAAAAGAAACAAATCCACATACAAATTCACAACAGAATGCTAGAAACTAAGCCTCTTGGAACTGTGGTTTTTCTATTGTTACATGTTTTTAACCCTTAAGTAAAGAAAGAGAGCAGCAACTTAAGAGGCTTTCATTTCTTTTGCCCCACCCACCAGTGCTGAAAAGTGGCCACCCAGATCAGGGGTCACAGCCAAATTATATTTGTTGCAAGGCATCAGCAGACTTCTGGGCACGGGGAACCAGGAGGGCACAGGGATTGCAGCGGAGGGAGGAAGCGTGACTGAATGGTAAATAAAACCAGTTTTCTTGCTGCTGATTTTGTAGCTACTTAATATAAAGTCATAATCATTACCATAGCAACACTCTCATTGCACACAACATGAATATGTAGATTCCCGGGGCGGGGGGGGGGGATGAAATAAACTGTACCTTTGTGCACCTTTACTCAAAAACGAAAAAAAGCTTGTAACATTCTGATCCACAATTGCACAAGCAGGGCTCTGCCCCATGCAGATCATTATTTCAAATGAACCCACTGAGGTTACAGAGAAATAACCAATAATTGGTGCCTGTGTGTGTGTGTGTGTGTGTGTGTGTGTGTGTGTGTTCGCGCGCGCGTGTATGTATGAGATAGAGAGACAGAGACAGAAAAGGGAGAGAAAGAAAAAGAG